CTCGTCCCTTCTCTGCTTCTAGCTGCAGGCACCTTCAACTCTTCTTCCTCGTTCACAAGCACAATCACTTTCTTCTCCCTCATCTCCCAGTGGATAATTCACGCAACCCAATTTTAACTCCTTTTCTTCTGGGAGCATGCCTTCCATCATCACATAGCTGCCATAGTCTCCCACACGTCAGTCCTCATAACCACTGACAGTAATGCTTTTATAAATGATAGCAGGTCATGGGTATAAACACATCTAATACCCTCATCTCCCTGTATCAGCCTGCAAATGACACTGCGACACTCTCCTGCAAGCCTTCCCCCCATCACACATCTGTATGGGGTTGTTGGTTTTTTTTAAAATGGCTTACATTTAGTCATTCAATCAACAAAACCCCACATTTTTGTTTCAGAACATTAAGTACAATTGATCCATGCCATTTATCACAACATCTCATCAAATCCTGTAACTTGCCTTTTCCTTGATCCATCCACTCATCTCTACTGACCTGCATTTTCCCCACCCTGTCTGCTTCCTCTCCTCATTCAATCAGTTATGCATGTCCTGTTCACAGTTGTTTATTGAAATGCACATATTGTCTATTCATCCATTTATTCCAGGTTCTTCCCTTCTCCTAATCCAGGACAGTGTTCATTGTCCATTATATTTCTGATTTCCTGGCCCCCTCTGCTAACCCTCCTGTTTTTATAATAGAGGTCTCGTGCAGTACTTGGCCTTTGGTGACTGAATTATTTCAGTCAGCATAATGTCCTCTAGCTTCATGAGTGTTCTGTAGTGTTTCACAACATATTCACAGTTTTTTAAGGTTGCACTGTATTACAGGAAATTTGGAGGACAGCTATCTGACCAATGGATTGGAAGAGGTCCAGATTTGTTCTCATTCCCAAGAATGGTGTCCCAACTAAATGTGGAAACTATCAAACAATATTATTAATACCACATGCAAGAAAAATTCTGCTGAAGATCATTAAAACCTGGCTAGAACAGTACATAGATAGGGAACTGCCAGATGTTCAAGTAGGGTTTAGAAGAGGCTGTGGCACCAGGTTTATCATTGCTGATGTTAGATGGATACTTGCTGAAAGTAAGGAATACTAAAAGAATGCCTATTTGTGCTTATTGACTATGCAAATGACCGTGTGTATCATAACAAGTTGTAGCTGACTTTGAGAAGAATGCAAATCCCAGAGCATGTAATTGTACTCTTGTGGAACCTATACCTGGACCAGAAGGCTGTTGTGTGAACAGATTGAGGGAACACGGCATGGTTTAAAATTGAGAAGGGAGTGTGTTAAGATTGTATTATCTCTCCATACCTATTCAATCTATATGTTGAGCAAATTATCTGAGAGGCTGAGCTCTATGAAGAGGAGTGTGGCATCAGGATTGGAGGGAGACTCATCAATAACCTGTGTTAGGCGGATGATACAACTTTGCCTGCTGAAGGTGAGGAGAACTTGAAGCATTTGTTGCAAAAGATCAGGAAATGCAGCCTTCAGTATGGATTGCATTTCAGTGTCAAGAAAACAAAGATTCTTACCACTGGACCAATAGGCAGCATCATGAAGGATGGAGGAGATTGAAACTGTCAACAACTTCATCTTATTTGGATTCACAAGCAACACCCTTGGTACCAGCAGTCAGGAAATAAGGAGATGCATTACACTGGGGAAATCTATAGTTAGAGACCTTTCCAAATTATAGAGGAGTAATGATGTCAGTTTGAGGATTAAGGTGCATCTGATTCAGGCCATAGTTTTTCCAATTACTAGCTATGCATCTGAGAGCTGGACAATGAATAAAGATGACAGAAGAAGAATTGACATTTTTGAGCTATGGTGTTGGAGAAGGAGCACTGAACATCCCATGGGTGGCCAAGAGAATGAACAGATATGTCTTGGAGAGGGTGCAGCTAGAGTGCTCTTTGGAGGCAGGAATGATGAAGCTTCACCTCACATACTTTGGGCATGTTGCTAGGAGGTGCTCATCCTTGGAGAAGGACATGATGCTGGGAAGGGTGGAAGATCAGTGAAGGAGAGGAAGACCCTCAAGCAGGTGGATTGACAAGGTGACTGTGGCAATGAGGATGGTGCAGGATAGAATAGGGTTCAGATCTTTTGTTCATAGGGTTACTATGAGTCATACTCAACTCGATGACACTTAACAACAGTATCCATTATGCAAATGTACTCTATCCATTCATTTGCAGAAGTGCACTTGGGCTGCTACCATCTCCTAACTGCAAGCCTTTCAATCTACAGCTGTGCTGGTATTCCTGTCTTGGTCTTCGTCTCCTCCTTATTTCAGTAATCCAGCCAGCAACAGGAATGGTCTCCCGGCCATCAGCAGAACACCATCACTGAGCTGATGGTCTCCATCATTGTTACATCTATTTAAATTTTTTTAAAAATTTTATTCTATTATATATTGTGTGTAGTCATTATGAGTTGCAAGTGACTCGATGGCACACAACAACAACAACAACAACCATCAAATCAGGTCTGACTGGTACAGGGGGAGATTGCCCCTCCTCCAGCAGAGCTTCTGGTGGATTTGAACTGTGTGCTTCTGGGATTGCATCTATTTAATTTTTTTTTAAATTTCCATTCATTCATTGTTGCACATTTCTCCCCCCCCCAACCCTCCCCGCCCCAGAACACTACCCTCTTGGAAAAGTAAAAGAAAAATTCTTTCATTGTTTTACAATCCCTCCCCCAGGTTCACTCCACCATGTAGCCTTCGCTCTAGACTCCTATCATGACAATAATACCTAATCACATATCCCTTTTAAACAGTTTTCTCCCTCATCTGTTTCAATGCAATATACATTATTGAACCCATCTTTCTCAGTCTCTCCCTAGCCCCAATGTCAGTCCTGTTTACAACAGTGGCACCATGCAGTATTTGTCCTTTTGTGACTGAGATACCTTGCTCAGCATAATGTCCTCCAGGGTGACCCATTTTGAAGAATACTGCATGAGTTCCCTGTTTTTCAATGCAGCCTATTATTCCATTATGTGAATATACCACAGCTTCTCTATCCATTTGTTTGTTGATGGGCACTTAGGTTGTTTCCAGCTCCTTGCTATTGTGAACAAAGCTGCAATAAACATGGATGGGCATATATCTGCTTGGATGTCAGTTATGGTCTCTTTGGGGTATATTCCCAGTAGTGGAATCGCTGGGTCAAATGGTATCTCTATTTGCAACTTTTTGAAAAAGCGCCATACCGCCTTCCACAGTGGTTGCACCTTGCATCTATTTAATTTTTAAAGAAAACTTCCTACTGTGATGAATGAACGCTTACAGAGCAGGTGATGTCCCATCCAACCATTCATGCATATACTGCTTTATGACTTTGACTTTTGACTAGCATTTCCACATTGCACCATCACTCTTTTCATTCTCGATGGTTCTTGTTTGCATTCACCCACTAGCTTCCTCCTTCCTGGCTCTGTACTTTACTCCAGAGCCAGTGCTGTGATTGTGCATTTGTGGGGTGGCCAAGTGCCTTTCATGTCCCTGTCCACCTTATTGATTGTTTGGACAGTGTGAATAAGGAATATCAAAGAAGAACTGACACCTTTGAATTCTGGTGCTGGCCAAGAATATTGAATACAGCACAGACTACCATAAGAGGAGGGAGCTCTAGTGGCCTAGTGGTAAGAAGCTGCACTGCAATCCTGAAGACATGGGGTTCAAATCCCCAGCTGCCTTCCATGTGATTAACTGCCTCTGAAACCCTGCCAGAGAATCAGCTATAGGTTGGTTCTGATTCAAGGATACACAACAAGAAGAATCAGAAGAAGAGTATTGAACATTCCATGGACTGCTAAAAGAACAAACAGGTCTGACCTAGAGAGAGTGAAACCACGCTGCTCTTTGGTGGCAAGGATTTTGAAGCTCTGCCTCACATACTTTGGGCACGTGGCCAGGAGGGACCAGTCCCTGGAGAGGGGCATCATGCTTGGAAAAGTGGAGGGTCAGTGCAGGAGACTGCGACCCCAGATGAGATGGATTGACACTGTGACTGCGGCAAGTGGAGGCAGGTGGGTCAGAAGCAGTGACGTTAGCTCAAGATACAACAGAGTTCAGAGCTACTGTTCACAGGGTTGCTATGAATCACAGTGAACTCGAGGGCATAGAACAAGAACCACAAGAACCAGAACAGGGAGCAAACCTGCCTTGGAAGCAGTGCTTCTTGGATGCAAGGATGGCAGACTTTGTCTCACGTACTCTGGGCATGTTCTAAGGAATGGCCATGCCCCGAAGGAGCAAAGGGTCCAGGAAGGAGAGGAAGACCCTGAGGGAGAGGGGCTGACTCAGCAGCTGCACCAGTGAGGTATGCAAAACAGATGGTGAAGGTGGCATGGACAGGGCAGGGAGTTGGTCTCCTTTTTCTCCCATTTTTAAAATTTGAATGAAAGTTTACAAACCAATGATTTTCATTCACGCTGTTATATACACTTTGTTTTATAACATGAATTAAAATTGACTCATGGATTACCATGTCTTCTCAGACACCTTAGGCTGGTGTTGAGAGTGTTTCAACCACAGCCCCTCCTGTAAAGGTGACTGTCTAAGGAGACCCTGTGGGAAGTTCTACTCTTGGTCCTGGGTCCCAGGAGCTGGAGCTGACCAGAAGGCATCAAGTAACAGTAGCTCAGGAAGCTGGGAGGTGTTTAACCTTGCCAGAGAGAGAAACACCCATTGTCTCCTGGTCAGGTGAATGTGCCTAAATCATCCAGAAAGCCACCCCACCCCAGGTCCACCTAGCACCCAGAAAGACCCCAAGCTGAGACCCCAGGCTGGTGACCATTTCAGAACCCAGTGGGTCTTCTGCTCTCTGCCCCCACCAGCCTCACTGCTGAACACAGCCAAGCAGAAAGGACATCACTGCGTGGAGGAGCTTCCTGGGGGCAGGACAGTGGTCCTAGTGGGCTTGGAGGCACCTAGAGCCAGAGGCTAATGTGCCAGAGGGGCCAGCTTACCTGGAGGTGGACGTCCAGCTGGAGCAGTGCCTGTTGCAGGACAGAGACTACTAGTTCCTTAGCTGGGAGGAGAGGGAAGTGTCCCGTCAGCTTTAATACCACACCAACTGGGCACGTCCCTTGCTACGCAGTAAACTGGGAGCTCAACCAAAATTCATAAAACAATGACAAGGCTCTCGGGCAGCAGGCTGGGGACTCAGGTCATCCCCCGATGTCACCTGTGACCTTATGATCCTCTAGCTTTGGGTTCTGCAGTCTCTCCCACCATGAAGTGAAGCCAGGCAAGGGACCCTGGATGTGTCCTGCAGGAAGGACAGAGCTCCATTTGGTTGTCCCAACAGCTGAGTGCTCCAGATTCAGATTGCCAGGCCTTTCTTCCTGGGTGCCTCTGGGTGGCCTTGAACCTCCCTTCTGCTTTGTAGGGAAGTATGTTCATTTCCTCCCACCCTATCAGGGAAAGTGCAGCCAGAGTGCTCCTTGAGGCAAGGATGAAGACCCTTCATCTCATATACTTGGGACATGTTTTTAGGAGAGGTTATTCCCTGGAGGGAGCTCTGGTGGCCTGGTGGCAAGAAGGTGCAGTGCAATCCCTTAGGTATGTGGTTCGAGTCCACCAATTGCTCCCCAGGAGAAAGATGGACAATCTCCTCCTATGCGATTCAGTGCCTCTGAAAACCCACTGGAGAGTCAGCTGCGGGTCGGTTCCGACTCTGGTACACAACAACAACAACGTTCCTTGGAAAACGACTTCATGCTTGGTAATGTGGAGGAATGGCGAAAGAGAGGGAGACCCTCAGTGAAATGGATTGACACAGTGACTGTGCTTTTGAGTCTGAGGTGTGTCAGAGATGACGAGGATGGCACAGGACAGGACAGGGTTCAGATCTGTTGTTCACAGCTGCACTCTATGTTTGGCTCAATGGCACCTAACAACAACATAAAGTGAAAAACATGGATAAAAATCCACTGACGTCAAGGATTCCTCCCCCAACACACACACAGTGACCCTGTGTAGGCCAGAGCACCGCAGCTCCACGGACTTTACTATGCCGGGGTCTTTACAGAAAGTGTGCTTGGGAAGACTAACAGGAAAGGTCAATAGTTTGAGGTCCCAGCCTCCCTGGGGGGGGGGGAAGACAGTCAGTGTACTCATAAAGATTTATAGTCTAGATAACTAGTAAGATGTGCATAAAGGGGAAGGGAAAGGGCGTGGAAGAGGGGAGGATAGGAAGGGGTGAAATGATAGACATGGCAGAGTTTGGTAGGCAGAGTGAAAGGGTGGTAGAATCAGGAAAGATCCAGTGGGGACCTGAGAAGGTGGGTCTTTATAGTACATTGTACATAAGACACAATGTATATGAATGATCTCAAGAAACAGTGTGAATGAAGGGGTGTGTGAGATACAATGTACATGAATGAAACACAATGTATACACATTTATGTATGCCCTGCAGCATAAATTAATAATTTTATAAAAGAGAGGCCAAAGGCTATAACACTGAGCCAATGACAGGCCGAGAAGGGGCCAGTGGCTGAGTTGAGGTGACAAACAGGGCAAAGCTAAGGACTGTGGTCAGTGGCCAGGCAGAGCAAGGGCGGCTGGGAAGGACAGAGGGAAGAAGGGACACTCTGTCTATTTCCCCCCTTTTTTTCTCTCTTTATTTCTTGATCTCTATCTTAAATTTTTGCCTATTGACTCAAGGTTGTACCCAGTTACTTCCTTATTAAATCATTTTAGAAGCTCAAGGGAGGGTCAGGAGGTGTCGGGTAGGATGGCAGTGATGGTCCAGAGGAAACCTTCATAGCAGGAAGCCATTTCATCTTTCCCTCGAGAAGGGGCTGGTGGGATAATACCACAGACCCTTCTGTTACCAGCTGAAGGCTTTAGGGGCGAAGGTGGACAAAATGACTGGTTTCTAAAGTCTGGGTGGAAGAAAGCACATCAGGGGTCCCTCAGGGAACGGTGGGCCGGGCACCTCCCAAACTCACACCCATCGCCATCAATCATGCCCCGGCTACTGGCAGGGCAGAGCCAGAACTGCCCCAGCGGGTTTCCGAGGCTATAAATCTTTCCATTTCCATCTGCATCTGAACACACTGGCCAGTGCACACGAAGCCAGGGGAGCCTCCTGTCAGGTTCCCACCTCCACTCCCCCACACCCTGCCTTCTCTGTGCACAAACGTCATGGTAAATGAGACGGGAGAGACCTTAAGCTCCTGACACAGGTGTGTTTACAGGTGAGGAAGAAGGTATGGCTGGTCCAAGCTTCCAGGATATTTGGTTCTCAGGATGAGAAGAGAACCAAGACTTGTGCAGAGACCACAGAGGAAGGGTGGTGGACAACTGGGCCTTCAGAGTGGGAAGGGGGGGGGGCAGAGCCCCAGCAGCCATGCTGTGTTTAGAGTCTACCTAGGTCATAGGGAGCCGTGGGAGTCAAGGCAGAGGGCTCCTGTGTCTGCTGTATATTGACATCTTCTCAGGCCGTGTGAACTGGTTGAAACCAGCAGAGCAAAGACAGGAGGACGGGCAGAGGAGGCTGCAGTGGGCATCCTGGCAGGCCACGAAGGGCACCTGGATTCCCCACCCGCCTGTGTGAGTCCAACACCACCTTTTTCCTGTCGGGCCCTCAGGTTCTCGGGGAGCACCCCCCCAAGGCCTCCTGCAAGAAAAAAGCGTGAGAAAGAGAGAGAAGGCTGGTGGTGCTATCAGGCCCAAAGGCTGCAATGCTGAACCCCTGGGTCCCCTGGGGTATCGGCCACTCCCAGAACCAATGTTCGCAGGCATTTTTCAATGACCCAGCCTCTGAGCATACCCAGTGACTTCCAGGAGTACAGAGGTCCCCCTGGTCAGGGCTCCCTGCGGTCAGAGGGCCTGTGGAGGGACAGAGCCAATCCAGAGCGGGCAACTGCCATCACAGAGCAGAATGGCCACTCCACCAGACCATTAAAAAAAAAAAAAGATACACTCCCAGTGTGAACTGAAAGTTACAGACTCCACACTGAGAGGACGTGGTGGGTCATACGGCCGGTGAAAGGCGGGAGCTCTGGACGTGGGGTTTGGCGGCAGTGAGCTCCTGTGTGCAGCTAGGATCATTCAGTGAGTGGTCACAGGTCCCTGCCCTCCGGTTTATTACTGGAAACTCCGAGCTGGAAGCAAGCGCCTTTTCACCATCCGTTCAAAGAGCTCACGAATATGAGGGCATCAGGGTGAACGTTTAAGTTCAAAATAACATGGGTTGGGTTTTTTTTTCTTGTTTGTTTGGTTGGTTTTTCTAAACACAGCCCAGGTGGTTACTTTAATCCACTTCCAAGAGATTCTTCTACACTTTGAAATAGGAGATTCTTATATTAGCATGAATACTGCTTCAAGCACGGACCTTTGAGAGTGTCATTCAGGAAGCATGGGGCTTGAGTTTAAATTGAGACTCGTAAAGCACTGGTTCTTTAGTGTATTTCTTTCTCCTCTGCAGCATGGATCTCAGGCCTGAGAGCCCTTGATCCCTTGGTGCTGTTTCAGCTCTCCTTGGGCTATTTTACACCCTCCTGATGTCTCTGTGGCCTCACGCATGAGTGTAAGAAGTCCAGTGAATTTTACAGCATATCCTCCACCTCTGTAAATTCATTTTTTTCTTTTTAATTATTATTAAATTTTATTAGTTTTAGTGAACATTTACAGAGATTTTGGGTTTTCATTCATTCATTGTTGCACTGTGTAAATTCATTTTTAATATCTACTGTTATTAGTGTCGTTAGGTGGTGTTGAGTTGCAACGTACTCATCGCTGTAGTGGCTTCTCAGAGGCTGTAAATCTCACAAGAGGAGAATGCCCATCTTTCTCCTGCAGAGCAGTTGGTGGACTCAAACCACATGCCTTTCAGATGGCAACATAATGCCTTACTACTAAATTGCAGAAGGTCAAGGACAGCAGCCTTCAATATGGATTGAAGCTCAACATCAAGAAAACAAAGATTCTCACCACTGGGCCAACTGGCAGCATCAGGATGGATAGTGAAGAGATTGAGATAGTTAGCAGTTTTAGTTTACTTGGCTCCACAGTCAACACTCTTGGTAACAGCAGCTGGGAAATCAAGAGACAAATTGCATTGGGGAAAGTCAGCTGTGAGGGACCTCTCAAGAGTATGGAAGAGCAACGATGTCAGGCTGGAGACTAAGGTGCTTTGCAATTAC